TTAAAATCACGGCACTTATTTTCATGTATCAAAAGAAGACCTGAAATAGAAGCATTTGATACTACAGAAAGACTCCGAATTCCTTCAGTATGCCGACATGTGCGAAAGATTTATATTCACTCGCTACTTGGCATTGAGGAAGCTAGTCAAAATTAATGATAAAAATGCATACTACATACGCAGCCATTTTTTACAGTTCATACTTTTTGTTAGCGGTCAGAGGGAAGCTCGTTAAAAAGTGGGCATCCTATTGTGACGGGAATAACTTGAGAATAAGCTACACGATTACAAACCTAATCAGTGCCGATTAGCTTGTGAATATCAAGCTTTCGCAAATGTCGACATGTTGCACGAATTCGGTGCCGTACTGTAGAATACCCTTTTTTTGAGTGGCTGGAGCAAAAACGCTGTCTAGTTTTCTGGTTCGAGTATTTTGGTGTTGGACTCAAGCACAAAGCAGATCAAGTTGGTGAATTGTTCGCCCCCAGATGACGTGGTCTCCGAGTTTTGGGCTGCTAAAAGCTTGTCCGCTGTAAACACTGTTATAGGCAAGGCAGTCTACCACAAGAAAAGGCCCCCGTCCTGACTACACTCAGTGAGACCCGTGGTACTCTATATCCTGCTAGAGATATCTACTTTTGTCCTCTCTTGAGTGGACAGATTTTGGTGATTGCTGGTGGGGATATTGAAAGTAATTTTATTCTTAATAATTACCACGGTAATAGTAGTCGTCGTCGTAATGCTGCTAGTATGCTGATTGTAGCATACTATTTACTGGTCTTAGCAAGTATGATTACTGTAATTAGTACTCCCGAAATCGGCATACTACTTCTAGCAGCAGTATCCTAGCCCTCGTAGTCTACAGTTAGAAAAAACTGACACAGATATACTGCTAGTAAGCAGCAGTACAAAAAGTAATAGTACTAGTGATAGTTATATCACACTCGGTCTCCTTGAATCTTCGTGAACACCTGCTGGAGGTGAGTGAAGGCAGGTAGTGCAATAGTAACCAGGCCAAAGGCTACCAGAACTAGTACAAATAAATCCTCCTGTTTTTTGCTTGCTTTAAATTTCCCTAATATG